TATAGCCTTACCATCGTGAAAATCTCCGAAAATTTTCTAAGTAAATTACAAAAAATGTAAGTATTTTGGTTTTTGACCAAAAATGACACGAAAAGTTCACATTTTGACAGCAAAATCTATTTAAAAAACATTTCAAAGATTAGTTTCTAAAAGTTAATTTTTTATGAGAAACATGCAGGAAAAGATAAAACTTTGGAAAATAATTTTACAAAGATTTTTTTAACATTTATTAGTTTTACATGAAAAGTTTTGACAGAAAATTCTATTAAAATACATTTCTAAAAATGTTCTCTTCTTCTTTTTCATTCGGCTTTGTCCCTTTTTTCGAATGCCCTAATTTGATAAGAAACATGGAGGAAGAGATACAATTTTGAAAAATAATTTTACAAAGATGTTTAAAAATGTTTTAGTTTTTGAATGAAAATGACATGAAAAGTTACATGAAATTTTTTGTGTTTAAAACTCCAAAAATATTTTATATGAATATTTCAAAAATCACCAAAAACATGGCTTATTATAGCCTTACCATCGTAAAAAAAAAAACATTTTTTTTTTTACAAAATTACAAAAGAATTCATCAAAATATTTTGGTTTTTGACCAATAATGACACGAAAGGTTCACATTCTAACAGCAAATTTAAAAAACATATATTTCAAAGATTAGTTTCTAAATGTTCCATTTTTATGAGAAACATGCAGGAAAAGTTACAACTTTGGAAAATAATTTTACAAAGATTTTTTATCAACATTTATTAGTTTTTGACCAAAAATGACATGAAAAGTTCACATTTTGACAGAAAATTTTATAAAAATACATTTCTAAAAAAGTACTCTTCTTTTTCGTTAGGCTTTGTGCCTTTTTTCAAATTTCCAAATTTGTTGAGAAACATGGAGGAAAAGATACAATTTTGAAAAATAAGTTTCACGTATTGACAGAAAAAAAATGCCTTACTATAGCCTTAACATCTTCAGTTGTTCTGCAGTTGTTGGCCATTTAATCACTTGGTCGTGGGTCATCACTTGGAGGTCACATGGACTTCACTTGGAGGTCCCTTGGAGGTCACTTGGACGTCACTAGGACTTGTACTTTTTTGGAACGCCAACCTTTGATCACAGTAAAATAGTATACCGATAAGTTCCCGAACAAATCTCAGAAAAAAAAGTTTCTCAAAAATGACTAAAAATGCACTCATTTGCCTTAAAATACTTACCTATGTCCATTTTTGTGGTTAAAATTCAGAAAAAATATACTTCTTTGGTACGCCGACTTTTGATCATAGTGAAATAATATACCAATAAATTCCTGAACAAATCTCCAAAAAAAAAATTTTCTCAAAAATGACTAAAAATGCACTAATTTGCCTTAAAATAC